TATATAATTGGTGCAGTATTTTAAACAAATTCGAGTTAGAAAAGTGTCATTAAATATTTTCTAATTCGAATTTTTTATTTAAAATAATATTTTAAATAAAATTTTCAGTTTCCTGTATTGAACAACAAAGCATAAATATTTTGTAAAAAGATTCCTAAAAAAATCGTTTACTGATATTGGTAATATTAAGAATTTCTAATTTAATTTGTAAAAAATTAATCAGTTTCTACACTTTATCTATATGAATAAATATTTAATATTATAAATGATTAGTTGTTATTGAATAATTTTATATGTACAAAGGATTTCAATTGAAATATGTAATTAAATTTCTATAATAATCGAATAAATTTTATACTAAAATGAAACACAAAACAATTTTATAACAGTTATTTGACAGCTCCCACAAGTTTATATTGTATAATTAAAAAAATATGTGTCTAGTATTTAAAGGTTTAAGTTCCATAAATTATTGATACTCGAATTTTGTACATATATCACTCTAGAAATTTATATCACTTATTCAAAATTTATTCCACTCTATTAGTCTCCAATTACCGTACCGATTTCTTCAATGGTATTCAATTTTCTAAAGGACTAGATTTACCGCCATCTTATAAATTTCTACAAAAGTTGGATAATTAAAAATCTTTCAAAATAGTGAAAGCGTATTAATACAATATGCCAGAAAGCACATAATGGACCTAAGAAACTCAATGGCCAAATTTTTATTATATTTTCCAAAATATTTTACTTTCCAAATGTTTTCCAAAACCCATACAATACAGACTCGATTGTTAAGAGACTTCAGCTGTTAAGAAATACTAACTTTGAGATTTTTCATATCAAGAATGAGAGCGAAGAAACGAAAATATCCTCTTAACATTTTTGTTCTCCTTAACAATATTTAGTATACGTTAGTTAATATTAAAATTAACATGGCGATTAATTTTTGATCTAAGGCTAGAAATTTTTAAGTTTTATAGGAAGATGGTAATAATACATATATAACATTATTTATGGTATATATATGGTGAATTCAAAAAAAAAATCAACATGAAAAAATCAAAATTTGTAAAATGTGAAAGAAACTTTGATTTTGGAACGTGATTGTAACTTTTGAATTTTAATACAATTTAAAGGCCGTTTCGAAAACCTGTGTAATAATTTTTAGACAAAATAACATAAAATTATTATTTTGGCATTATTCTGATTTCTGAAAGCAATAACGTGTTCTAAAAATTCCTTACAAAAGCCAAAATATTCATTCAAATCCAAAATATTAATAAAATTCTAAGTTAAATCAATTTTATTTATTTAATTTATATAGTCTAATATCATAGAAATCTACACAATTATTTACTTTACTAAATTTAACATAAAGGTAAATTTATTTTATATATAGAAAATTCAAAAATATTTGCCATCAAAAACAATAAAGTTTTAACTAAGAATTTATGAATATCTAAAATAAATACAGGCGTATAATATTTTGTTGAATTAAGAAAAAAAATTTTCAACAAATAAATTATGAACTGAAACTTTATATGTGTGTGTACACATATATAAAAATGATAATGTAAATTTTTTTTTTTTGTTAATACATATTCCGTATATATGCAGGATATTTTAATTTTCCTCTTCTTTAAATTTTTGTAATTTTCTTTTAGCATATACAAGTATATTTAGCACCTAAATTCTCTATTCATTTACAGTCAATAAAGCAATTTTTCTTTAATTTACATTTTTCCATATATAATGGATGTATGTATATACTCATAAACTTACTCTATATATATATATATATATATACCTAATATAATATGTATTTAAATATTTTATACATTAACATATATCTACAAAAAATTGCGCTAAGAAAAATGCGACTTTCATTAAATTAACATTAAAAAACAAAGAAAATTAAAAATTTTTGAAAAAAATATCATAAGTCGCCTAATGTAAGAAAGAAATAAAATAATCACTGTAAAGTGAAAAGAGAAAAAAAAAAAAAAACAAAAGAAAAATGATAATTATTCAAACTCATTCCAAAGATATTTTTATCTCTTAATAAGATATTAGTGAATTAAAAATAATTTCCTAATTTTAATTAAATTTTCATTTAAAATATTTTTCTCCTTTCTGTCTTTTTCCATCTTAATTAAAATAATTCACACACGAATTATATACAAGAGTGTTATTTGATTTTTACAAGGTACAAATTACAATATTACTCGTACATAAAATGAGTGTCATACGTAGAAAGCAGAGACAGTATATGTATAACATTATGGTATGTCTAATTTAGTACTAGAATGTAATATATAAACTTGGTCCTATATACACTCTCAGTTATACATTTACATTATAGAAAGGAAGTTTTGTGCTTTTGCTATCACTGTTCGGAAGGAAGTACATAATTTTTTTTTTATTTTAACAAAGTGAATATGGTAATGGTTTGAATAATTTTCAATTTAATTTTTTTTTTTATATTTGCATTTTATAATTTTTATTATTTAATTGAAAAAATTCTTAATAATAAATTCTTCAAAATACACAAAATTTTGTATGATAAAAAGAAATATTTTTTTTTTTTAAATTAAGGATAATAATTTCTACGTATAATTTATTTTTTCTCTATATACCGCATTTCTGATTTTTGTTTTTAGCATGTTTGGCCTTATCTGTCATGTCATATTTGCCGCGTTATAAATAAAAATTAAAAAATTAGACTGTTTTCAGAAAATTCCAACTTTGAGGTCTCATAAAAACGCGGGAAAGAAGGCCTAAAAAGCATAATATCAATCGGTATTTTTTGTTCGTTTAAAAGCAAGCTATAAATCTGCTAGCCCGAGTATTATCGCGTCTCAGACACACTTTATTATTTACGCTTTAGTATTAACTAAAATACTAAAAACAAAAAAACAGAATCAGCTATTATGGTCGTTGTAAAATTTTTTAAAAAATTTTGTTTTGTATTTAATAAAAATCGGGCAGAAAGAAAAACTGATGATAATTTAATAGTTTTCTATTTCTTAAGTCAGATTTATTTTTATTCAATTGGACATAAAATTCAAATTTAGTCTAATATTCACCATTTAATATTAATGTGTGAAAGGCATACGTAAAATAACATTGAAAAATATCCCTATGAAAAAACGAACTTTAAAAACAATCGTTTTCATGAATTAATTCTTTTTTTTTTCAAAATTTTAACATTACATACCTATACATATTGCATTCGAACTCCGGTCAGATGCCAAGATCTTTAATTGTAACTCTTAATAGGTGTTAATAAATATTTATTTTATTAGAACAACTTTCTTTTACAATATTGTTCCCGTCCAATAATAATTCCATTATTATATTAATCCTGCATTAATTTATCGCTCTCCTCCTAACGGTATGCAATAAGATACTATGACTAATATAAGAGAATAATCTACTGTAAGAAATTATTGCTTGTTTTTGATTTTTCAAAGAAAATGTGCTATTTTACAGATCTCAAAAAGGAAACAGTATCATCGGGGTCTTTATCAGCCCACTTCAAAATCTAGAAAACTGTTGATTTTTTGAGTTCAATTTTCATAGGTACTCCTTAAAAGTGTTAAGAAATAAGTAAACATTCTGATTTGTTATATAGCTGCTTTATCCTATTGGTATGATTGTTTTAAAACCCTGTTATGCCCGATATTTAATGAAAATTAAAATTTTATTTATAATAATTTAAGAAAATTCATTTTTTTTTTGTTTTTTGAATACCTAATTGTATCAAATTTATCACATTGAACTTAGAACTACTTTGTATAAACTACATGTAACGCACGAAAACGATTAAAGAATAAAAATCTTCATTTTTATAATTCGGCCTTATATCATTTGTGATGCTATAAAATGTAATAAGCGCAAACCAAGCATTTGATTGAATAATAAAAGTCAAAATATAATTCTTAAACTATTAAATTTTATTAGATTTTTTGTTATCAAAAATCTAGTCAGCATTTTGGAATATCTATAAAATGTTTAAAAATACATAAAAAATAAATTAAACTATATTATTTAACTTCCTTTTAAAAATTAAAATAGTTCACATATATAATGCTTTTTTCTTTTCTCTTAATCCCCCTATTAACAAAATATTTTACACTTTTCTTTTACTATCGTATAAATTTCAAATATAATTCTAAAATTTATTTTTCCTATGCAATAAAAATGCATTAGATTTCTATGCAATTCAGTACAACTATACATTTTTATATTAGACACATACAAGTATAATAGAAAATTCAGTGAAAAATCTTCGACCTCATAAAAATCTTACGAACTTACACTATCAAATTCTTGCTTGCAGTACCCATACACAAAAAAAAATATATCGTTTTCTTTTAAATTATCCGCAATAGGGAATAGTTTTGTGGTCACATTGCAACTAAATACAAAATAAAATTTATATTCTATACTCTAAATTTAAAAAAAAAAATCTAACAAATAAATTTACTACTTAAAATATTTGAGGCAAAAACCCTCTTATATAATATAATAAAATATTTGATTTGAAAAGAAACAAATATAAAAAGAATATTTTCATTTTTAAACTAAAATTAAATATTCATTAACGTTAGAGAGGAAAAGTATACCATCATAATGTACAAGGCGTATCTTATACGAGTAAATTTAATTTTGTCATCTTAGAAAACCTTAGGTATAGCAATTTAATGATTTTCCTTTAAAAATGCAATTGCATTCTAATAAAACCAAAAACGCTATATTATACAATTTTCAATTTTGTTACCTTTTCAATTTTAAATTTTGTCTCTAAGGAAATAAATGAGAAAATATTACGTTTTTCAATTCTTTGTCTTTAAATTTAAATGAATGGTATTTCATTTGTGACTTATCTATAAGATTAAATTTAATAAAGAAGCAAATAATTTAAAAAAAAATCTCAATTTAAAATTTTTTAATATTTATTATAATTTTCTTCTTTTTCTCATATAAAATAGATCAAACTCGAGGAGATTTTTCACGTTTAACTGGTTCTGTTGTAAATGGTAATGATGATCATCCAATATTAAATGGTAGTTCAGCATTAGGTATGAGTGCAGCAGCAGCAGCTGAAGCAGCACATGCAGCAGCTGCTGCGGCAGCAATGGCTGCACATCATCATCATCATCATCATGGTCATCATGGTGGTAATAGTGGTAATAGTCATCATGATAATTTATTAGGTGGTGGAGGTAGTATGGGAAGTGGTAGTAGTAGCGGTGGTAATAATAGTAAAAAGAAAAATAAAAGACGTCATGGTAGAACAATATTTACTAGCAATCAATTGGATGAATTAGAGAAAGCATTTAAAGAAGCACATTATCCGGATGTTAGTGCTAGAGAAACATTATCAATGAAAACTGGTTTACCAGAAGATAGAATACAAGTAAGTAAAACAATAATAAATATTGTGTTTTTATACCAAAAAAAAATAGATTCAAAATTAATTACAAAAAGTTTAGTATTCCATTTTAATATTGCTACAAGAATTCAATAATATTTACTGAAAATTATATTGCTATAAATTATGGACTATAAACTTTACTATGAGAGCACATTTAACATTCAATGTAGATATAATAATTATATTGATTTTTAATTTTTTAAATTAATTACAATTTTTAGCAAATTTTCTAATAAAATTGCACAACTACTCTATAATAAATTACTAACCTTCATACTCTGAAAACGGGGCATCCTCCAATATTTTTCGTATATAATATGCAGATGTCACTATCCAACCCGACAACTTGTTTTCGCATTACTTCATATTTAAATGTCACATTTCATAATGAGAATTATATATGCTTTCTTTCCAATTCTTCTAGTGTTTTTATGTAATTTCTGTATCTTCCGGATTATTTCGATATTCAAATGGTTTCCTTCTGCATACGACTGTATCTATGTAGTATTTAGTATCTACGTAGTGTTGTGGTATTGGAGTTCCTGCTCCAAATCTCTTCTCGGTTTTTGGAACTATAAGCAAAGTGCAAAAATCTTATTTTAATAAAAGGCTATATAAGACAATATAAAATGAATTAAAAATAAATTTGTATTTATAATATTTATTTTATTATTATAGAATAAAGAAAATTGGTTTGTTATTTTTAATCCCAGAATTTATGCAATCTGGAATTTTTACAAAACTTAATTATTATATTTCATGTAAAGGAAAAGTGGGTCAATTTAAATAAATATCTTCAAATTGGCAATTGTTTTAAGAATAAAATTGTGCCAAACATTATATTCTATGTGGTGCTCAATATTGTATTCCATTTTAACTATTAATTAAAATGCTTCAATCTATTAATTTATTGTTCTACTAATTATTGTTTTATTAATTTTTCAATTAATAATCTGTGATATACTTGATATACTGTGATACGATTAGGAACGTATAGATTGTAGATTTCTAAGGGAACCGAGTGTGGCAGGAGTAACCTCCTGACCACCACAACATTCGCAACTTTTTGTAGCCTCTTTCTAAAAATCATATTCAATTCAAACTCAAAACCATATTAAACATTAAGTGAAAATAGACATAATTACCCCAATTTATCACACAATAGTTACCCAAAAATTGTATAATTTGTTAAAGTATTTTTTACTTTTAATCAAAATTAATATACACAATTTCTATTTTCTAATATTTCCTAAATATTTAAAAAAAACTATATTAGCTCTTAAAAATATTAAGATGAATAATTTGTTATTTTAATATGTAAAGAGCAAAATAACGCTCTTGTAATAATTTTAACGCCCAAAATAAACATTAAGATTTTTTCGCAAAAAACATTAAAATTTTCACAAAAAAAAAATAGAAGAAAACAAAGGAAATCTGTATAATAATTAATTATTAATTTCTATGTATACAAACTTTAATATATAATTTCATTAAAATATAATTAGCTTATAGGTAATTAGAGCACGTATATCAATTATGCAGCACAAATAATAGGTAATAATAATTTTTATAAACAAAGAATTGCATAAGAACCCTTTTTAAAAATTTCATATATAATAATTTCATAAATTTTATAATTCTTTATGTGATGCATACATATAGAAGCATGCAAATCATATCTGAAATATTTCAGAGGAAATAATTGAATTTCTTTAACCCTTAATATAGTATCGCAACGAAAATATTATAAACTCACACTCTATACACACACAATTTGCAAAGATATAATATATGCAAATAATAATTATGACAACAAAAATAATAATAATAATTTTGGCATTATTAGCTCATGTATACAAAAATAATACAAAAACTTGGTCATGTGTTAAAGTATACTTAAATGCATAATGCATATATTATAACAAAACGTACCTACATATTATTATTGTATTTAAAAAAAAAGAAAAAATTATTTTTGTTTTATTCATTAGTCCTTAAGCTAATAAATTGTAAATGTGTGCAAACACTTAAGAAAAATACATTTATATTCACATTTTAATATTATAAAGCTATAGTACTCATATTTTAATAAAATGAGAAATTCTTTTAAATATATTATGTATGTATATATACGAGTATGCATTCACAACCATACAATCCATATTTCAACCATATTTCTCCAAAATACATACACATAAATACAATATTTTATTAACATATTATATAGGAATGAATATTTTTTGTATTATTAAGTGTTTACATACACTCGTTCATGTACATATTTTTGATGCAAGTACGCAATTTTAATGTATGTATATATATATATATATGAATTTTATAAAGAATATAATAATTGTAGTAGCAGCCATTAAATTTACATGCGTATATAATGATATTATGCGTAAGTATGTAGTTACAGATGACGTATTAATGTCCTTTTTATAATAATGATAAAAAAAATAATATGAGAAAAATTATATAATCAAAGTTACAAAAAAATATTCATAATTTCAAAACAATTAAAAATTGTATTTTGAATAAAAAAAAATGTCCTTGCAAAATCATTTGATTTTTGATTGTATTAAGAAAAAATCCTTATAATTCATTACTATTACATACTTAATTATTAATTTATTAATTACTCCGATTTTAATATACAAATATAATTAATTTATTCTATACCTTTAACCATAACAATAAATGAAAAATAAATAATGAAAAAAAAAAAAAAATAATCACAATTATAATAATAAAATGTACTTGAAAATAAAAACAACATGGCGGTTACCTCCAAGTGACAATGTCAAACAATAATATTAAAATAAAAATAATCAAAAATCATTTTTATTTTTTTCTTATACAATACTAAATAAAATGTATAAAATACATATAAACACATACATATATGAGGAATGAGAACAAAACAATAAGGAACGAAAAAAAAAGATATGGAAAATATTCCTGAGAGCAATACAAAAAAAAAAATATGAGAAAAAAAAATTTAATAAAATTATGAATGTGCGATGCAATGACAGCTTATTTTCTCTTTTCATTTATTTTTCTGTTTTATATTTTTTTTACCCTTCATTCCATACTTACATGCCTACCTACCATTCTGTATTCCATATTTAAATATCCGTATACAATACATATACATATCGTATATAATATGCATGCAATATTAATTTATATGTATGTAAGAATGTAAGACTAGTACACCTTTATTTTGTTAAAAATCATAAATCACCCCTTTTTTTTTATTTTCTTTGTTTTATTTATTCTTGCCATTATTGTATGTTATGTTGAAGAAAATAATAAAAAGAATAAATAGGTGGAGAGGGGGAAAATACGAAAAAAAAAATTTTTTTGTAAAAATAAATGCAAAAATTTAATTGAATTGTTTTTGTTTTTTTTTTTATTTATTCTAAATTGAGTAGCTGTTCGATTTTTTTTTTTTTTGATTTTTATAATAAAAAGGGTTTTTGTAGTTCTTTATGGAAAGGAATTTTTTTTTTAGTCTATTTATATATGAATTTGTTTAATAATGATCGAATTGAAAATTTTTAATTTTCTTATATAGTGAGTAGGCAGTATTGAAACATGAAACATTGTTCACGGATTTTATTTGATATTATTAGCGAAGATAGCGAAGATGATAGAGAAAAATTTAATCTGTTAGAACAATTTGGCTAATTTAAAATTAATGTATGAGGAATTACAAAACGGCACATGAATATTATTTTAATATATACTAAACACTAGTCTAAATTTAAAACTAGTTAGCCTAAGTTTAATTGTTTATTTACAATTTGTATTTATTTAAAAAGCTATTTATTCAAAAAAGATTTCATAAGCCTGTGTCTTATAAAGAAATATCTTAACAATTTATAAGATTTTAGAATAATATCAAAAAAAATTATTAATGGCATTAAAGCAATACTGCGCACGGAAACGTGATTTGAATTTGATTTTTTTAAAGATTTGAGTATTGCAAACTTTGACATTTATATGATTTCGGATTAATTTAATTTAGATTCCTCATACAAAATTATAAATTTGTTCATGGCAACTAATTGGAAAATTGTCTCAGCCCCAAAAAAAAAATACAATTATATTTATGTCTTAAAATTCAAATCATTAAAGGTGGAATGAATTTAACTCTCTGTTAATAAACAACTTTTTATTTATTCTTCTTCTCCGGTACTAAACGTGGCCATTAAAGGACTCTACAAATTTCATTCAAACATGTTTGTATATAAAAACTATTTGTTCTAATATAGTACCAGATTATTTAACAGACAGATTTTTTTGAATAATCATTTGAATTGAAAAAATCTGATTAAATTTTGATTAAAATTCGAACCCTTTCGAAGACATTTTCACTCAAATAATTTATGATTTTTTCATTATAAATGCACTGATATTAAATAAAAACATGGCCATGTTTTGGTGGAAAATGATCGAATTATTATTTTATAGAACAATAATTTTAATTTGTGAATAATAAATAATTTTTTTTTTCAACTCAAAAATACTTTATTCACTGTATTATATTTGGTAGATGATTTGCATGTTTAAATAAATATTGCACCCACCAAAGTATATTTAAAATATTTTGTATTTTCTAAGAAAGTTTGATTTAGGGCTGATACTACAAAGTTTCTACAGTTTTTCTACAGTCAATTAAACTGAGTTGATAATTGATTCACACATTTGTTAAAATTAATTATTAATTTCAAATTTTAAGCATATTTAAAATTGTTTTGTGTATTTAAAAACTTTTTTAAAATTTTTTGTAGCAAATATTGGGCGCTTTTTAAGTAATCGCGAGCAAAACAAAAATCTTTTAAAAATTTTATTACATACATATATATACGAGTATGTACATATACATTTGTAAACACATACATTTTTCTTACTCAAATACTATTGCATATTTTTAGGATTAAGTATTAAGTTTGAACCAAGTGTATAATATTAGTCATTTTTAAAAAATTTAGGAAAATTTTTCCAAACTTCTTTCTACGTTTTGTCTTTAAAATGTTTCATATTGAACATGTATGATTTTGCTAAAATTAAACAAAAGTTTTTGTCTACCTACAATATTATTTTTTATATAGACTCAAAATCTTCTAAGAAAAATATAAGAAGAAAAAATAACCTACCGAAATAATCTATTTATTCAAACTAATTTTAAAATTTTCAACATAAAAAATTTTTTCGTACTACCCATTCTAAAAATATGTTGCACGTATATGTACTGATAATAAATTACACGAAAAAGCACCTTATTTGCTCTTACATACTTCATGCGATAAGTATTTATACGCAATTTATCTTAGCTGAGTTCATTGTATCAGTAGAAAACGACGATTTTGCTAAAATACTTATATGTAGCGCACGAAATGTATAAAATTCCCATCTCAAATTAAAGGACGTACTGCATGAACTGAATTGAATCCAATATTGTGTTTAATTCAAAAAAATATAGCAATTATATTAAACTTATTTTTTAAAATTATCAAAGTTAAAATTATAAAATTATTTTCTTTTAATTTTCTTGTTGAAATATGCCAATAGTCTTAGATGCCGGGAGTTTTCGTTTATGCACGCTCGATTAAAAGTTTTACATTAGAACAAAAATTTCTAAATCGTAACGTTAAATATGCGTATGCAAAAACTTTAGCTAAGTTTTTTTAGTTTACGAAGTCTACAAATTCTGAAACTTCTAAATAATCAGTCGTTCGAAAATAACAGAAATTATATTGTTTATGAAATTGTATCCCAATATTTTTGCCTTCAAATTCATTGCAAAATAATCAATTTTTAACAAGATTTGAAAACTTAAAGAAAACTTACTTTTATCACACTTCAATATCTAAATCTGCTATTTTGAAATTGAAAATTTTTTTTTGAATTTTAAATTTAAAAAAAAAAAGAAAAATTTCATGAGTTAGCGCGAAAATTTATGCTAGAGGTCTGCGCTACATTTCTAACATTTCTTTATTGCAAATTGAATTTTCGAAAGCACTTTATTGCAGCCAGTAATTTCCTTTTACGATCTGCATATATTTTCAGTGTATGTAGCGTGAATTTTCGAATGTACTACAAGCTAGTACTATTCTAGAACTGAATAAAACTAAAACCGCCGCCGTTCACTTTTATGTGTGGCAAAATTTTAAAATTAAATCTACGACAACGATTCATAACTGTTTACACATATCTGACTTAAATTGTATATTTGTTTGCAGCTCAAACTTCACGTCAAATTTGAAAAATTTTGCTATATGAAAATTATAAGTAAAATTTAGATTAACTAAGATCTCTGTTTAAAACTTTTGTTCTCTGTTTCATTATTAGTTAAAAAATCTAACAGTAAATCTTACGGGTAATAATAGAAATTATTCTCATTTCTCCTCATTTATCTCATAGAGAATACAGTAATTTCTATTATTAGCCGTCGAATAAAGTTTAATAAAACATAGATCAATGACTTTCATTAGACTTAGATTAAGTCAAAGATTTTATTGTATATTAAAATATTATAAATAATATAAGTATATAAACCTTATAAATAATTAAGTATAATCTAATATGAAGTTTTAAAATTTTGACTAATTTGTATGATAACAATTGCATAATTAATTTTATTTCATTAGTTGTACATATGTATATACAGAACTTTAAGAGAAAATGGCTATAAGCATATATTTATGTATACATTTTGTTAAAATTTAAAATGGCATACTATATATGCCTAAATTTTACAATATAATATTTAAATAATTAAATAATTATTTTATAATGATTCATAAAATAAATTCGTGTGCGCACTTAAACACAATTAGTGCATATAAATTTAATATTATACACGTATCTTATATAATCTTGCATACAAATGTCTATCATAATAAGCATAAAAAATTTTGTTGATTTTCTTAATTTCTAGATATTCTAATTCAAAAACTCTAATATAATTTTATTAATACGCGAACCACCCTTTTTATCTATATGTTCTTATAATTAAATTAAAAAAAAAAATGAATTTCATCATAAATTTTCTATTAATAAATTTTACTCTTTTCACCGCATTAAAATTTATATACATACATATACATATATTTATATTTATATAAGTCACGTGTTATAAACACTAATTTCAAGAGCATTAAGTGTACAAATTATTTTCCTAAATAATCTTTGAAACATATACGATAATGTAATAAGATTACAAAACAATGAGTAAAAGTATATAGAATCGCAGGAAGGATCTAATGTACGAGTACATACATATATAATATTATACTCAAGAATACACACGACGTATATTGTTCATCGGATATTTTGTATCATTTATTGCTGAGGAAACACAAAAAAACAGAAAAAAAAGAGTAAAAATTGAAAATTATTTTATGGTCCAAGTATTTTTTTGGTTTTTTGATTAATTTTGAAGTACCACTTTCATACTGATGATGGATGAATTAGATATTTCATATTTTTTTGTAAAATCAAAATGCTCACCCATATATATATTAAAAATTAAAGAATAAAAATGAATATGGAGTCAAGAAAGGATTTTATTATTTATTTAATAGAAAGAACATCAAGAAAAAAAATTTTTACAAATTATTAAAATTAATGTACAATTTTACGCACATCATGCTGTTTACCATTATAATTTGCTATATACATACATATGTATATTAAATTTATAATATATTAGATTTGTTTTTATTTATAAATCATTTTATTTCAAGCTGTGATTATATTTATGATGCTTCTAATTATATATTTATGGTCTATTGGTTATAAATTATATAAAAAATGAGTGGAAACTTAAATTTATATACTTATTCATATATATCAAAGATTTTTATACAATAATGATAAATTAAAAAGTTATTCATGTGTACATATAAGGAAATTGTGGAGGGTGATTAATATTTAAATTAAATAAACCACAAAAAAATTAATTTTCCCGCCGCAAATTGAATCTTGTAATAGAAAATTTTTGATGTATCTTACAAATTTATTATATAAGCCCCTAATTTTTGAAATTTATTTGCATTTAGAAAAGTATTTGTCAAAATTCTTTTCAAAACAGTATATTGCTTCACAACTGGGAAGGCCGATAGGTACGTAAATACCCACTAGTATTATTTCTACAGTTTACGCATTTATTTTTTTTTATGGCACAATTTTAATTTAATTTTTGAAATTTAGGCGGAACTGAAGCTATTTTTAGTTTTCTATTCCAAAATTACTTCTGAACGTAATTATCTTTTTACTACTTGTTGTTATTTTTATTGAAATATAAAATTTAGTTTCCAATCTATGCGATTTTAATTTTAATTCCAGGATTTGAAATTTGGAAATTTCAAGATTAAGATATAAACCTAGCTTTGAGTTATTTTAGGGGTGGCAGTCAATCAAAATTCTTAAAAAAGAAGTATTATTTTTTTTTAATTTTTACTTTTGCACATATTTTATTTTCATATTTCTAAATAAAGTGTTGTATACTGAAACGATTCTTATATATCTTTATACAAACTGTTATACAAACTTTATCTAACTGTTATACAAAAAAAAACTAACTGAATCATTCTCCCTTTTATGCATATGATAATTGTTATGTGTTTGATTCATTTTATAAAATATCATAATAAATGAATCCATTACAATTTCCTTTTATATTATACACAATGTTCTTCCGTTCTTCCAAATTATATTCCATTAATTTAATTATATCTTAATGGATTATTAAATATAATAATGATTAATTTCAATTTTAAACATGAAATGATAAAAATGGGAAAAAAAAACAAATCAATATGATTGTAGGAAAGTTTGTAGGAAACCGTGGCAACAAATATTTTCAAGAATTTTCTAAATTAAATAAACAATTAAATATAAGAATAATAATGAAACATTTGAGCAAGTTAACTCGGATTTTGCTCGCAAAAGCACTGAAAAATGTATGGAATAAAATATAAGCTCATCAATAAACTTGAAAAATGGCTAGCCTTTCTGATAATTTCATTTAATTAATTTGTATTCAGTCAGAAATGGCATCTACTCCAATATTCCACGTTAATATTATTATAATTAATCTCTTTTTGAATTTGTCTGTCTGTACGTCATTCATTACCATTACAGTATCTATATGTGTTGTATATATTTTAAGATTAATTGTCTCCGTTTCAGTTCAATATTACATTCTTAAACACATGGAGAGAAACAGACACCTATACGCTTTTAAGAGATGGATAAAAACCCAATATTATTTTAAATAAAAATTTAAGAAAAACTTTTGTCAATTTCGTTCTAGCTCTTATACCTATGAAAATAAAATATAAAATACACGGGTATGAAAATACATGTCTTACCAACACGTGCGATTTGAAAGCTTCATCACTTACTGTAAGCACAATTTTGTTATAAATGAATGCATTAATTTCAGTAAAACAATTTAAAAACTAAAAATTCATTTTAGGAATGGAATGTCTTGCCACAAAAGCGTTAAGAAAAAAACACCAAAAACGAAACTTTTTTGTAGTTTTTTTTTTTGAAATTCAATACTCTTGAAGAAGTTCAATGCGGTTCTTTTGTCCTTCAAAAACAAAATAATCCTTGATTGTCCACAAATATTTTTATTCTCTACACTTCTTTTTATTCAATACCAGTTTTGATATGCAAAATAACTAAAAAAAAAACAAAATAGGTGTGAAAAATTAGAAAAAATAACGACAATATTTTCAATACAAAGAGTTCAACAAGACAATTCGAATACCAAAATATCTTTTGTATAAAAAGTTGACAAAATATTATCTTATGTTTGAAATCCTTTTGTAAATTTTCAATGTAAGAAAACAAAACAAAAAAAAAAAAAGAATTTCTGCGTATATCTTAAAAATTTTTTATTTTAATTTTTCTTTTTTATTTACAGGTTTGGTTCCAAAATCGTCGTGCTAAATGGCGTAAAACAGAAAAATGTTGGGGTCATAGTACAAAAATGGCTGAATATGGTTTATATGGTGCTATGGTACGTCATTCATTACCATTACCTGAAACAATATTACGTTCAGCAAAAGATGATGAATCAGTTGCACCATGGTTATTGGGTATGCATAAAAAATCATTAGAAGCAGCTGAAATATTAAAAAGTGATGATAGTGATCGTGAAACACCAACATCAGATGATACAAATACATCATATTCAGCTGGTAGTACACATAATTCACCAATATCATCATTTTCAATATCAAGATTATTATTTGATCCACCAACATCAGTAGCTTCATCATCATCATCAGCTACATCAATGGTACAATCAATTAAACATAAACATCTTAGCAATATTAATAATAATAATAATCATCATCATCATCATAATCATCATCTTCATACACTTAATTCTGATGAACATCCGTTAAATCATAGTAATAATAATAATAATAATAATAATAATGGTAATAATAATAATAACAATAATAATCAATATACAACAAGTCATCTTCAGCATCCACATCATCCATTACATCATCATCATCATAATCATCATCATTTACTGCATCAACATCATCTTCAATTAACAAAAAATGAAGATTCAGCTAGGTGAAATTCATATTATTATTATTAAAAAAATAAGAGTAATTATTATATAAAATTTTAATATTAGATTAATTTTAAATTGTGTATATAGTAAATATTAAATTATAGCTAATACAATTATTATAAGTAATTTATTTTTTTTTTTTGAAATATGTATTTAAAAGTGAAATGCTTGGCAATTCTCAATTATTTTAATTTATAAGAACAATATCCAAATTCAGACAACAACAAAATATTCATTTCCTATATTTTACTAAAACTGATTTGGCAGAAAAATTCCGCAAGTTCCTCTTAATTTACAGAAAAATTTTACAATTTTCAAAACCCATGTTTAGTTTGGATCACAAACAAATTCCACAAATGTTTGTATTCTATTGAATATTTCGAGAAAACAAACTCGAACTTCAAAATTATAAATGCTGTTCTGAATCGGATTAATCAAAAAACTAGTTTAAGAACTAATATTTAAATAAACGTTTTTCACAACTTCAATAACTTATACAAGATATTTACAGCTTAATCGTGCTTTTTTACTCACTTCTTATTCACTTTCAAATTAGAATTTTCCACTATTCTATAATGGATATTTAATTTAAAAAATTATTTTAATTGGATTTTTGCATTTCTTCTAAAATTATCAACTGAAAGTCTCACTTTCAAAAACAAACTGAATAAATTTTGTATATATTTTAGAAAAGAAAAACGATATACGTAACACCGAATAATTTTTCTTACTCGAAAATTACATAATACAAATATATGATAATTACTCACTTTCTTCTCACTTGCCGAGTAAAATAGCGAGTTAGACGAACAGGCTCTAATTAAAATTCAAATTTTACATTGCCAAGTTCTTTAATTTAATATCAATATCGACTGATACTTTTACAAACAGATTTAATTTAATTATTTAATTTACAAATATAAATTTTCCAAAATGTTTCTATTAACAATAGTTAAAATTATCTAATTTTCTTCAAAATTAATATTTCCTTTTTGTATCCTTTTCATTTATACTTCTCTTTAGAATAATATATATATATATATATATATATATATATATATATGTATTGCAATTTATTCAATTTAATTCTCTAAAAATAAAATTAATTTTACTACTAGAGTAATAAAAATTATTTCCTGTAAATTCTTTGTGTTGAAATTTTTAACATTATTTGGCCTATAACAATAATTGGGAAAAGTCTTAGCATTTCAAAACATATATTTACATAAAATATTTAAAAAAGACCCATAAATCCATGATATTAACACTTTAACTATTTATAAATTTAAAATTTAAATAAAATTCGTACAAAAATTAAATTGTAATTGTTCATTAGAAATAATTGTTACATAAAAATTATTTGTTTTTAAAAAATTATGCTTTATATTGCACCAATTAAAAAAAATACAAGTATGTAAAAGATTACTCAATCCCTTCTCTTATATTATTCATTAACTTTAAATATTAACTACCCTTAAACTTTTAATTTCTACTATATTTTATTTCAACTACAACCAGTTACAATAAAAAGAAACATTAATTTCGTTTTCAAAATTTCATTCTTTAAAATTATTAATTACAAAAATTCTAAATTTAAATTGAAAATGTATTATAATTAATAATTGATAAATTAGTCTAGAATTTAAAAAAAATTTTTTTAAATATTTATTGCACATAAATATTAATTATAAATATACCTAATTAACAGAAAATACATTGCATCGAAAGCGTTTAACCTATATAAACAAATTGAGAAGAAACCTAAAAAATAAATTTAAAAAAAAAAAATTATGAGATTAAACAAATTTTATTAAAATATAATATTGATATTAAAAAATTATAATTTAAATGATAATAGCAACGATAATCCAAATATAAAATAATTAAAATAAAAAAAAAATAAAAACATAAGAGAAATTTAATTGTAAATAATTAAAAAAAAAATTCAAATGTAAGTTTTAAAAGAAAACAGAGAGAACCATTTTATAAATACGTATTACATAATATACTTAATATGCTTATTTAATATGTAAGTGTGTAAATAATTAAAACAATGAAATTAATGAAAAATTAAGAAATCTTTTGGTATACACATAATTGTATAACATTATTTAAAATTAATGCACTATAATTAGGCGAAAACGATGTCCTTAAAAATATTTTCAACAATTTTTTTAAAAAATATCTTTTCTAACAAAATGTTTACATCAGTTGCATTCAAGAGAGGGGATTTTGTATAATTCAGTTCTAACTTAAGTCTTAGTACAAAATACCTTCAATAAATTTAAACTGCAAAATCTGTAAAAATAGCATGTTCGAAAATTACAATTACACTTAAAATTCTAAAAAAATTTCAAGTTTTTCTTTTAACTATACTGAAAAATATTGAATATACAAGGATTATACTCGAGTATATTACAAATCTGCCAACAAGTTAAATGAAAAGACTTTTATGATTTAATTTAGATCTTTGACTTCATATCTGAATTATTGAAAATCTACAAACTTGCAATCCCCAAACCAAAAATTGGCCTAATATTATTATACCTGATTAAAATATCTAAATGTTTTACATTAATTTTAAATAGAATTTTATACGAAACATTGTTAATATTTACAAATTGATTACATACATTTAAATAAATTTCATTTTTAATTACAAAAATTTTAAAATTAATTTTGTATTTTTAATAATTTCATATACAGTGAGTGTCATCTTATTTGATGCATGTTAGCAAAAAAAAAAAACTTTTTTTCTATATATAATTTTTTTTCTAAAAAATATTTTATAATACAAATTTGGATTTAGTAAATTTCTTTCATATACCAAATTATTGTTTATCAAAATAAAACAGAAAAAACAATGACAAAATTAAAAAAATTAAACACAAAAATTAAGAACCATTTATGATGAAACAGCTTAAATTATGCCCTCAGAGAGTATTATGTTAAAAATAACGGTATTTCATTTCCTTTTTAATTTTCACAAATACTATCACAAAATCTAAAGTAAACTCATTCCTAAGTACTCCAAAAATGTCTTCAGCATAGAAATTGATTTTAATAGTAAACAGACGATTCTTAAGCCAAAAATAAATAGATTCGATTGAAATTTTACTCCAGAATTATTCAAAATTGTCAGCCAATTTGAAATTAAGTTTTGTTTACTGATAAATGTAAATTTTATAAAAATTGTCTCCCCCTGCAGAAAAACTTAATGCATAGAGAAAGCTAAAACTCAGCATGAAATTAATAATCCTCAAGTTTAAAGTTCATTAACTATGCGTTCACAATTACCACATTTTTCGCAAACATTTTGACCATCTACAATATAAAATTGTTCAAAAATTTATATGTACATATTCAAAATTCTATTAAAATATTTCATTGGTTATTCAAATATCTAGTAATATTATTATTTTGCTAAAAATATACATAAATATTATTGAATATCGAACGGCTACTGTTTTTTCCACAATCCTTATAGAATACTTAATTTAAATACTAATTAATATAAATGTGTGTATACAAAATGATAGCAAAATCAAACCTAAAATTTAAAAAATATAAATTGTAATTATCATAAAGTAAGCAAAATCTAAAAATATCATAAAATAAAAATTAATTTATGAATATATTACTTACATATATGTACATTTCTTTAAGATGACAATTTGTTTATAATTAAAATAATGAAAAAAACAATATAGCTATATTGTTTTTTTTTCTACTTCTGTAAAAATAATTACATAATATAAATTACAAAAAAAAAATAAATATATGTAAAGAATTTTAATAAATATTGTACTTTAATATATAAATTTTATTTAATTAATTTTATTCACACAATTTTAATATTATTCATTAACTTGTAAATATTTTCTGAGAATATTGTGATTTTCTTTTTTTTATAAGAATATTTTTTATTATAATATTATAATTAAAATATATGATTTTAATTTCCATATATATGTATTTATACATATATATATATATGTAAAATATTCAATTAGTAAATACTTATATTATATAAATGAAAAAGTTAAGAAAATATATTATGAAACTAATTTAAAATTAAAAGAAGATATTTTGTTTTAACAATATAAAAAACTTAAAAAAAAAACATATATATCACTTAACCAGTATTTCTCTTATTACAATAATCTATTTTATATCTGATCCAGATAATTATCTGAATCACTTTTTCCATTAATATTTTATTTTTTTAATCTGATTCAATAATAAACATTAAATTTTCCTTATGTCTTAACCTCAAAAGAATAAATGTTTATGATTGCATACAATTTGCTAAATTGCGTTAGCTTGAGGAACTTGTATCTCGCTATTTTAATCGCTGAATAAGAAGAAAGTGAGTAAACATCAATTGAATATTCGTATAAATTTTTGAGCGAAAAGTTTTGTGAAAATGCGAAAATCCAGTTAAACAATATTAATAATGTAATTACAAAATTGACATATTCAATTACATCCAAAAATTATAATTCTGATTTGAAAGTGATTAATAATTTGGCTGAAAAGCAAGAAATACTATGATACACATAATAGGTTGTACCCAAGTTATCATTCAAAATATCAATATTGAACGATTTTCAGAAATTCCAGTTTTGAGGGCCCCATTAACACGAGAAGGATCAAAAAAGAAAAATGTCACTTGATGTTTTTTGTTCATCTGGACACATTCTATCTATACCTGCTCCGGAAGTGTTGTCGAATCTCGATCACCTTGTATAATTTTAAACCTTTTAACATATAAACCATTTTAAACCATATTTCTGATAAACATTTGATTTCTGATAATTAAAATATCTTTAGCAATTTCTTGAAGTCCCAGTGGAACCTTAAAAATGTAAATTGAATTAATATTTTGAATATATTTACTTTACGAAAATCTCTGCAAAATAATTGGGGAAATATCGTATGGAAAAATAATATTGTACTAAAATCATAATTGTGATAAATCTATTTTACTAATAATGTAGGCACCATGCGATATTTAGTCGAGTGTATTCTTTTTCAAGTATCTGTGAAATACTTGTGATTTACTTCGACATTATAATTTTCTTGAAATTTTTTTCAAGAAGCACTCGTGGCACACAAAAAAAAATTACACCTTAGTACAATATTTATTTTTATGAATAAAACATATTTTAATACATGTGGTGGCTTTCCTTTTATATTATAAAATACAAAATAAAAATGTTTGTTAGGTAGGTATATTTTCGTATTACAAGAGCATAGATAGAATATTACATTTTCTTCCTCGAGTATTACCCGGGTTCATTCTGTGTCATGAAAACAAAAATATTTGTACTTATGCCAATTGTTTTGTCGTTATATACGTGTTGAGTGGACCTTACTTAACTACATATTACAAAAATCAAATTGGGGATCTACATTTACATACACTTACATATATAGGTAATACCAAACCAAATGCGCTTTTATTAATGCTATACGTAATCTAATAAAGAAATTGGTCGACATTATTACAAATAACTTAATCTAAAATATTAAGAAATACGAACTTCCTAAACTTTACACGCATTTTAGTCCTTTGATAATAATTATTGCTAGTAGTTTTTAACAATTTTTGTTAAAGTATGTGAACAAAACACCAAAATTTATCTGGCCCCCATTAAAAGTACCTACTTATGACAATATAATTTTTTAGTCAACAAATTGCCAATACATCATTTTCATCGAAATATTGATGAATACAAAAAAAAAACAAGAAAACCAAGTTGTCCTAACCAGAGGCCAATTTTTAAAATTTTCAAATGTACATATGAATATACGAGTGTATATACATATGTAGGTAAGTAGCATTATACATTTGAAGATTTTTCTTTGTTTTCAAATGTTTACTGCTATTTAGCAAAATTGTAGTATACTAAATCAATGTTACTTACATGACATCAATGTTAACTTGGAATAACTGTTAGTATTTATGTATAACTTGTTTAGTTTTCCTTTATGAACGAATCCATTTTTAGTTAAGTTTTCCTTTAAACGAATCTACAAATAAATACAATTAGTTAGTAAGCAAAGTATATTTCTGAATATTACCCGCTCTTTTAAGTTACAAATTTTTTTTTTTTAAATACAGTAAATATTAAGGAACTTATACTTAATAGTCACTAAAATTCTTGCCCATTGTTTGGCTAGTTAGTTTTGTAAAATTATTTCAATAATTGTACGTATTTATATCATTTTACTTAGATATTAAATTTTGCCATAAGAATCAAAAACTGCTTGTAATTAATCATTTTACAACGGCTATATGAATTTGTTAAAAAAAAAAATGGTTTCCATACTTGACATAACGATTATATTTTTGTCAACCGTGTTTCCATCTATTTTTGAAAACAATTATTTGAATTTTTGAAATACCGTTGAAAAGAATTTATCTGTAACATAATATATCACATGCCCAAATGTCACATATAACCCAAAACTATATTTATTCTACGCTCTACTCAAAAAAAAATTTAAGCAATCCTCTGTCAAAAATTATTTTTAATATAAATGTATTTATTTTTATAAAATTATTAACATATTATTATTTGTCATTTTTTTCTTATATTGTGAATTCTTGTTGCAAATTAATTGCTCAAAATTTTTAATTTATATTTTAATTGTCAAGAGCGCTACTAAGTAAAAATTAATAATATCATTACCATTGAAAGCGCCTCTTCTATAAAAACTTATAAATAAAAATTATTTTGTAGAGTTTTCTTTTTGACATTTCAAATTTCTTATGTAACCTATATCATTCTTGACATTTCACTAAAGAATATTAAATTTTCTTAAGACCAAGGAAAACTAACTTTGTTCAGGTATAAATTTTTTTTATTTTATTAAATAATAATTTACAAAATATTAAATATATTAATATCGATATAGAATGGCTGGAGATGCTGTAGATGAATCAAAATTAACTGGCCTTTCCAAACATTTTAATGGTACAACAATGAGAGGACGTGCTAATGTAAGTATTATTTCTGGTCAATTCTAAAATTTTATGTAATAATTTGGTTAACATTTTTTATTAATTATTTAAGGTTGCAAAAGCAACATACGCTTCCGTTGGTCTTATCATCGCTTATTTCATGTTGAAACCGAAGAAGAAGTAAGTGCGATGTATAAAATTAGAAATTTTATTCAAATTTTTAATTGTTAGTTTAATGGGATAAAAATTTATGGGAATAAATTAAAAAATTTCTGTAAAATAAAAATGTTGTACTGCTTTTCATTTAAAACTTACATTTTTATATTGCCTGTGAATTAGAATATATTGCGGGAAGAAGCTTTCATGAAGTTAGTAAGCACAATGCACTAAGTCCTTTTCTATTCCCTAAGGATATTATATATTTACTTATACCTAAATCCTTATATGGTTATACATAATTTAATTTCAAAATAAAACAACAATTTGTAATTGGAAGCAAATACATAAAATGTATTTTTATATGTATTGTTTGTTTTTAATTGGAATTTGTTTTAAATTTAATAATGAACATGATTAAAATGTATATTTTTTCATATTATCAATAAAAGTAGGTAGGTATATAATCTCACAATATAATTATACAATAAATTTTATCATCAATATTTAATACCATGCAATTTATTTACGTGCGAATACAAAAAAAAAAGAAACTACCATTACCTTTAAAGTGAAATATGTAAATCTAATTTACGTACAATATCCCTAGCCTTATTAACACCATGAGAATTCGATGAAACCATGCCTTGTAGATCAGTCATATATTTGTCAATATTATCTAAGGTGGCACCATTTGGTTCGCCAGGCAAAGGCTAAAAAAAGGAAAATATTCAGGTAAAGTTTTTAAGTACGTAGGCCATGTGACAAGTTTGCTTTATAAAAATAAATATGTATGTATGTACTGTAAATATGCCTGCATTTAAATTCAGGTACAAAAACAGGAGAGTAACAAATTTAAAGTTATAAAATAAGGTTATAAATTACAGTAACCAATAGCTTTGTTTTTAAATTAAGATTTAAATTTCATAAACTTACCAAACCAGAAAATGCTTGAGCTAATTTTGCTCTCAGTTTATCCAAATATTTTTGCATTAAACGATTTTTTTCAGCAAGTTCTTTATTTTCATTTTCAATTTTTTCAACACCAGTCTTCATATTCTCAATATGTTTTTCTAAAACAGAATTTTGTTGTTCATAGTCAATATTTGATTTTCTTAATGCTCTCAATTCTAAATCAATTGTTTTGTTATGATCTAAAAATTCATCTGTAAATATTGGAATGCATCCATCTGGATAATAGCTTTGTAAACGATTTTCATTATTTTTATTATCGACTGATGATAGTTTTACACTTGATTTAGTGCTGTTACTATTATTATTACTAACATCACTGCTATTGCCATTCATTTGGGAATATTTAGATCCACCATTTGATATTATTTTTGTATTACCATTACTACCAATCGGATTTTTATTTTCCTGTCCATTAAGGCGTTTCTGCTTATAAAATTCTATCATGGCATTATTATACCTAAAAACGTATAAAAAACACTTTTAAAACATTTATAACAAAAAGGAAAACAAATTTTAAAGTTATTACACTGCTCTTTCTGCTTCTGCAACTTTTAAGTATGGAAGCTTCTCTTGTTCATTTAAACGGCTCCATTCATCTGCAATTATTTTTGTCATTTCAATATGACTTTTATCTGGATAATCTGGTTTTAATTTCTCTCGTCTTTCATTCATATACCTAACGTAACCTAAAAGTACATATTTGTTTTTTAAAGAAATTAAAAATTATAATTGAATGAACAAACCAGTCAAAGGTGGACGCGGTGCCCCTTCTTCAAGACGCCGTTTTTTAGTTAACCTATTGCCACCAACTTTCCTTTTTGGACCATTATCAGATTCTGAATTAAAATCACTGCCAATTTTTCTTTTTTTCGAAACTGTTGAACTTACAACCGGATTTGGTTTTTTTTCTACTGATATTGTATTTGCTTCAGTTGTTGATGTTGTTCCTTCAGTTACCATCCTTAATTCATTTTCTAAATTGTCTTCTGTACTTTTTTTCTCTACATTTTCACTGTTTTCTTCGGGACCTTGATCGGTGGCATTAGGTATTTCCATATTTAAAAATTAATACAATTTCTAGATCCGTTTTTAGTACAATATATTTTTATTATTTTAAAAAATTATTAATAATACACTTTTTTTGCAAATAATTATTAAAACAGCGTCGAGCGGTTTTTGTGTTAAATGGAAAATGAAAAGCAAAATATAAAATGGGAATTTTTTGAAGTTCGGTTGCAAAAAGAAAAAAAAAAACTGGGAATTTTAATGAAAGTTTTGATGAACGCTCTCTAGTGTCAAATATATAAATAGTATTTTATAAAATGGGTAATTTTTGTTTTCAAACAAATGTCAAAATTTCTTGTAGATAACGGTAAGAATTTTACTTGTCATAAAAAACTTTGATTTTTAAAACAGTATTACCTCATTTAACGCAATCCCCTCTGCTTTTAAGCTAGAATAGAGAGGTTTTAGAGCTAGAATGGGAAAAACCTATTTTGTTTAAAAAACCTAACTAGAAATTTAAATAATACGCAATTATACTATTCTAATACTATTTGAATAAGACGAAAATTATTATTATTGGCATAATGGTGCGAATTTACACGGCAATTTGATAGCTGTATTCATTTTGATTATTATACAAATTTTACGAACTTTAAAGAAATCGTTTGAATTATATAAAAGAATTTATTCTGACAAGCAAAAAATTTGTAGATAATTTAATGTTCGCCATATTTTTTTTTCTGGTTAAAAGCTTTATGAAATTTAAAATTTTTTATGACAGTTTTAAAAATTTAATTCTTATGCCAGTTTTAAAAATTGAATTCTTGACAGTTAACCTTTATAGCCTATTCCAAATTTTTTTCTTTCAAACATCATAAACGCTATCGGTGTGTAGTTTCAATAACAATATAAATAATTAAGAAAATAATTTTATTTATAATTATGATTGATAGATGGCTTTAGTTATATTTATACATTGAACTTTGAAAGTCACAATAATATTTTTCGTCTTTATTGGGATAGCCACAACAAATATTATTTTCATTTTTTTTAATAATTAAACTAAATCGTTTATACTTTTCTCGTTAATTTAAGCTTTTACTTTCCATTAGAATTTTAATAAAAAAACAAAAGGTTAATAAACGAAAATACCAGACGACTTTTGCATTGTTATTTGATATACTTTTCATTGGCCTTGTTGTCGACAAAGTTTTTGGAAAGTGGATTGAAACGCATGTCAAGCATTCATGCAAAAGTCGTCGTGTAAACACAAACAATATGCTCAAATTGGGTATGTTTACACATTGTAATTAATTCGAAACCAAAAGAAAAAGTTAATTATGTCAAAGTGTTGTTGCCAATTTTCATAAACCTACAATATTCCCCTCTATTATGAACATCGGTATCGGCCGATATATTATCGGCAGTTCTCATCGGTTTTGGGTTTCTTCTGTATTATGAACCGATACCGATAAAAATATTTCAACCGATTAAAAGAAGCTTTTTCATACAAATTTTTGTTTTTGTAAATTGGAGAAAATGTTTTTTTTTCTAATGACATTTGTTTTCTTTCAAAAGTTATTTTCAAAAAATTTTTAAAACTATTTTGAATTTGGTTTTGATGTGCTAAAAAGTTGTTGTAAGAAAATTATTTTCTGTTAAATTTGTAAAATAAAAGTATACATATATCGGGAAAATGTCACGTGCATTATATTTTGAAAGTGAAGAAACGCAAGCTATTCAAAGACGACATATAAGAGATTCAACTAATCCATTGGATTTAGACAACAAAATGTATGTTTATGTACCTATTTTATTTTATTATTTATATAATATGTACACATTTTTTAGGTTTATCCAGAATTTCAGATTATCATTCCTTGCCAGGTTTAAGTCCTCTTCCATTTTTTCTACTAACCGCGCAATTTGTTTTTTGTTGCTTACGATTTTACTCCTAAATAAAATATATGAATAACATTTTGAAAGAAAATAATTTAGAAAAAATGCTTACATTTTAAAAAAGCAATTAATTACACCAGTTTCCTTGATAAAATGAAGATTTTACAAAAAAAAAATCTGTCGTCTAAAAATTTGTACCCGCTTTTAAATCGGTGAAAACCCGACAATTTATCGTTTTCATAATACCAGCTAATACGTTTCCTATATAGGGAAAAAAAGCTTTCCCGACTCCGATAAAATTTACCGATAAACAATGTTGGTAATACAAACACAAAATTTTGCCGATAAATTATCGTTTATCGGCCGATACCGATATACATAATAGAGGGGATTATTCATGTTGTTTCCTTTGAAATTTTTCTTGTGAACATTGTTTTATAGTACACAATTAGAATTCAAAATTGAATTAAAATAAGAAACAGTGAAATATTTTGAATGAAAACTAAATACATAGTTAATTGTAGATATTTTAGCAATTTTATAGAAATCCATATATAACTTTGTGAATGAGTAAGGTAACATTAATTCGTTTTTAGAACAGATTTATAAATAAAAATTTATATCGAAAATTAATTAATGTAATTAGAAATACAAAAAAAAAAGATTAAATTTAAGAAATTTTTTAAAAAATTACCAAATTTAACTTAATGAATTAAACTAAATGAACTAAATTTGGAGGTAATTACTGTAATAAAATTAATCAACTTTTGACAGAATGCATTATAACAGGTACTTATACGCACAATATCAATCCAAGCTACCGAATTCATTTTAAGAAGTTGTTGTTTTAACCGCAAAATGAACAATCAACCAATAAGCTGTGCTATTATGAAAACTTGCATTTAACAATTCTTCTATTTTTAAATGTCAAAATATTCTTTTTTGAATGATTGCCGTTTTGAATGATTAAGATATTAAAATAAAACAAAAAAAAATTTTAGGTCTTTTTTTTCGCTTGAGTTTTATTTTCTGTTTTTCTTCAACGTTCTTTCTCTCTTTTTTTTTTATCTTTTTTTCTCTATTCAATTTTCTTTTTCACATTCATACCATTTTCACAATACATAATATGTATAACAGTTTTAATTTTTTTATCATTTATATATGCAAATAATTATATAATCACTTTTTGGCCTTTTTTTTTCATTTGTTACATTTCAAATTTTCAAATATTTAAAAGTAAAATTTAATGTTTATAATATTTTTACAAAATGTAATACAGAAAAAAAAATTGATTTTTATAAAATATTTCATAATTCACGGTTTCCATTTAAAAAAGAAAAGTAAATTGTTAAATTACTTAAAAACCAAAAAAATTTACAGGCAAGATGAATATTTTCACTTTTAAATTACAATACCTATTATAAGTATGTATAACGTACTTAACGAAAATGTGTATAACAGTTATTATAAAAAAATTTTTTAAACAAGTTGTTTTATTTTTAATTTTTAAATAAAAAAAAAATTTTAACAAATTATCTGAATTTTTTCCTTACAATAAAGAAAATTTTAAAATTTCATTTTTTTTTGCTTTTTTTATATATATATATATAAAATATATATTTGTATATAATTTAAAAAATCAATTATTTATATAATAATATATATATATATATATTTTTATTTCAAATTTATCAATACTAAACAAAGTTTAGTTAACACTAGATTATTATCATTTCATTACAAAGTGTACGAGGTATATGCAGTTCCGATATATAACGTATATATGTATGTATGATCATCATATTTTAGTTAATATTACATATTTACATGTTAAAAATTTTGTGGTATATATATATATATATAAATATAAATTATTATAGTATATTTTAATCACCTTATTAATTATTTAAATTTGAATAATCATAATTTACAAAGATTTTTTTTTAAATTATTCATATCGTATATACATGATTTCGAATATATATAGACAATGTTCGTATCTATATATATATAGAAAATATTATACATTGCAAACTTTGTTCAGGAATAATTTATAACTAGCGTACTATAAGCAGACTATGTAAAATTACAAAAATGATATGTTGTTTATGATCTTTTTCTTTTTTTTTGTTTTAAAATTTTTATTATAATATTTTAAATAAATTACTATATATAAACATAATTAAAGAAAAAAAAAATTTTTTTTTCTCTTTATTCATTTTATTATTTTAATTACTAAAGGAAACTTAAAAATTTTATTCTTAATATTTATATACACATACATTGAATTATTAAATAAAATATATATTTTTTTAATTAAATATAGCTATATATGGTCACTTAAGTTTAATATTAACGGAATCCTTATCCTTTGTATTTGATATTATATCATTATTTTTCTCATCAATTTCAATTGGATCCCAATATTGTCTTTCACCAGATCCAAATATAACAAAGAATGTTGCTGCTATAAAATAAATTCCAGCTGCTATACAAAATACAATACGCCATTGTGCCATTGAATGCTAAAATGAAAAATATAAATATAATTAAATAATAATTGTTTTAAAATAAATTTCATATTATAAAAATAATATTATATACAATATTATAATAATTGATACTTACATCTCCTTCAATTAAATTTCCGGCAACAATTGGTGCTAATAAACCAGCTAAATTTGCTGAACAATTTGTTATTGACATTAAAATACCAGCAAATCTTGGCGTTATATCTAAATGATTAATTTTAAAACCAGAATAAATACCACCATTAAGACCAACACCAATTGTTAATATTGATAATGTTAAAGCTCTATCACATCCTGTGTATGATGCAGCAATTAATGCTACTCCTGGACCATATTGACCTAAAATTAATAGAAATTATGTTTTTTTTTAAATTTAATATTTATTTATTAATGAATTTTATTGAAATGTATTTAATTAACAATTGTTTTGTAGAAATAATATAAATTGGCTGTCAAAATTTAAGATTGAATAAAAAAATGACATTTTCTGATTCTTGTAATACTTGTTTGACTTATGAGTTAATGTGTCATTTGTAAATTTCAAATTCAAAATAATTGACAATGGTTGTCGCGTTCGCAAAATTATTCAAAATTCGGGTAAATTCTTTATTATTTCAATTTTATATCTTAGTATTAACAGTTTTTAAAATGAATTCTAAAAATTAAAATTTAAAGTGATTTTAGTGATTCATTTCCATGCTGAATTTATGGTATTATATTCTAGAACTCAAGGTGTAAATAATGAAAATTTCCAGCCAAATTTTCGAATAAAATTTGTAGTGCATATGATTATTAAGTTTTGTATAATTAAATATTAAATTAAGTATAAATTAATTACATATATATAAATACATACCAATACTGTTAATTAATTTTCTTGTTGCTGTATGAGTAAGCCGTTTAGATGAAATTAACCAATCAGCAATAATTGATATAAACATTGAGAATATCCACATTGCAACATATGGTAAAGCTGATAATATACCATTTTCTTTAATTGAATATCTTAATACTTGTTTCATATATGTTGGTAATTCAGTCATTAATGTTTCATAACCATAATTATGACCCATATGTGCTATTAAAATAGCAAAAAATGGCATTGATCTCATAATAGCTTTAGCTGGTACTGGTGGTGACTAAAAATTTAAGCAAAAATATAAATAATTAAAGTGTACCTAGTGTTTTATATAAATAAAAGCATATAATATATGTATATATATATATTATATGTATGTACATTGGTTCAAATGTTTTATATGTAATATGAAATTTTAACTTACCGATATTTCTTTTTTACCCCATAATGAATGATTAATATATTTTCTTTCTTGTTCATTCATACTTGGATGTTTTGATGGATCCTCATATACCAACCATATAAATAATATTGACCATACAGTACTAAGTACACCAAAAACATAAAATATTGATGGCCAACCATATGCTGAAGCTAGTATACCAGATAATGGCATTGATATCACAGTTCCAAATTGTGCTCCAGCATATACAGCAGCACCCATACGTGAACGTTCATTTGGTGGTATCCATTTAGCTAGTAAGGCGTGTGTACATGGTGCTATCGGACCTTCACCAAGTCCTTGTATAAATCTAACAATACATAATGGTACAACACCACCTTCAAAAGCTGCAACTGGTACAAGGAATGCAAATACAGAATTTATCATCATACCCCAACCCAAAAAATTTAATGCACCATATTTTTTAGCTAAGAATCCAAATGGAATCTAGGAATAAAAATTTAATTATTTTATTTTGTAAATTTTGATAAATTTTTTGGTTAATTTACCTGCGTTATAACATAACCATAGAAGAATGATGATAAAATATAACCTTGTAATGCTGTCCCCCATACAAATTCACCATCATGTTGTGTACTCTATATTATTGAATTTAAATTTTTTGTTAAGAAATTAAAATTTTATACTATCAATAGTAAAGAAACTTACATCATGTGTTTCATTTTCATAATTGGGACATTCATCATCATATTCTTCTTCAGTATTACCACCAATTGCAGTATGATTTACCATAGCTACAATTGCAACAGACATATTTGTTCTCATTACATATGCATTTGCCATACCCAAAAAGAGCATAAATGTGACAAAATGTCTCGTTCCCCACCATTCTATATTTAAAAAAAAGGAAAATATTAATTTTACAAAAATCCATGTAATTTAATGTACATTTATTTTAAAATTGATTAAGAATTCTGGTAACTCTAAGAAACAATGAAATAAAATAAGAGCAGTCTGAGCAAGCTCCTCTTATATTAAATAGAGCTACCAAATTTCTTAATTATTTTTAATTTAAAAATTCACTTACGTTTTGGTTTCCCATATTCATCATCATTTGTACTAGTACTATCGAAATGATCTTTTGTAACAGTCATTTTGGATTATTTAATATATTTTTAACTTAATTAATAAATTATTTGAATATTTAAAAAAAAAAAAAATGAAAATTTTTCAATTAAATTATTAAATTAAAAGTTCCTTTTGAGTTATTGCAATTACGTTTGTGATATATAATTATTTTTATATATATATAAATGTTGTATATATTATGTGCCAAAGTCTATTGTAGTTTGAAAGAACGTCGTCTGAAATTATAAGAACAAAATGAAAAATTATTAATTTTAATAAAAATTAAAATATTTTGCATGATTATTAGGAAATTCAGAGTAGGATAGATTTTGGTTTCGACTATTCAAATTTCGACATATGTATGTATGTACGTATATCTAGCTAAAAATGAATTTTAATTAAAATAAAATCTGAATTCCATGTCTTTTAACATCAAAATTTAATTTTCAGCTAATTTAGCTTAGCGTTACATTGTTTTAACATACAAAATTTTATACAACACAAATTTAATATTAAAATTTGCAGTAATTTTATTGTCATATTAGTTGCTAACTTAAAAATTTTCTTCTTGGATTTATGTATATATTATAGGTATATATGCTATAAAAAATAATAAAATTAAATTAATAAAATGAAATTTATAATTTTGGATCTCAATGCATTTCAAAGAAATTTGAGTTATACTAAACCAAAACTTTAAAAATTTACCAACAACATTTTATTTTAATTGAATTAATTGTTTTAATCTACGGCCTGCTTAAAGATAACCTCAATTCGAGGTTTAAAATATTGCAGAACCTATCATTTAAAGTGCACACTTTTGCGGATTTTCAAAGTTCATAATTTCAGTTTGGTTATGGCTAATACATATATATATAGACAATATACTTTATCTGAGAGCTTATAAATGTATATACGTAAATATTGCCTTAATAAAAAACATTGTGTTTCGCATAATGTGCATGTACTCGTTTTCGAGCTACAGCCTGTTGAAAAGAAAAACGATAACAGATTTTTCCTGCATAAAAATAAATGATTACAACTTCGGAACTATGCAACATAGAGTAATTGTCGAGGGCTTGTTTTGCAGGCAATTGATTCTTCTTTACTTTCAGTTTTACAATCAATTTGACCTGAGCCATAAAGCATGTTATATTACCGTTTATTTATATACACGAAATATCTAGTACGTTTTTTTATTTTTTGCTGGAAATTTGTCAAAGAATCATTTCTGAAATTTTTTGCCACCTTATGCGAAAACACCCTGTGTATTATTATTAAATTGTTAATTTTTTAGATTTGTGAGTTTGTGAAAACATTTTATACGAAATATAAATGCAAAATTACCTTTTTTAAAAATTTTGATTTTCCTTTAAATTTCTTATAATATTTTCTGCTTAAAAGATAACCTTTTTAATAAAACAAAGCGTTTTTAATTGACGAAAAAAAAAACTATTTTCGTTATTTTCTCTTTTAATTTTGTTGATGCTAAAAAATCAGCAAAATTCTTTGGTTAATTTGATTCTTTTTGAATGCATTTTGAATAATTCATCCTATTTTTTTTTTCTTGTAATATATTTTGTGTTAAACGAAGATCAATCTGGAAAAGAAACAAAAATAATAATATAAAATTTATTAGTTTAATTCAAAAATATTTTAATTTAAATTAATTATAAATGATTAATTTATAAAATACTTAATTACAAGCCAATATTCTTTAATAAATTTAATTTAATTATTTAAACAAATAATTAATTTCATACGTATTAAACTCAAAATCAAGAAAACTCTAAATTGTGGATTGTTTTGATTTTCAAGTAAAAACAATTAATAAAATTTTCACAATAAAATTTAACCTTAAACTTACAGCAATAGGGTTATTAACACTTATTGTATTAGCTTACAAGTTGCATAATCGCTGAATTATGTAGCAATACAATGCAACTATTTTAAAATTTTAAAAGAAAACTCTAAAGGAAACTTCCGCATAAATCTCTTCAAATTTTTCAAATTACATACGTATGTAGTATGCATCCTACCTATTATTTTCTATAGTTCTTTAAAATTTATATAAGTTAATAAAATTTTAATTATTTTAATAAAATTTAATATAAAATCAAATTTATTCCACACATACTTCCAATTCATTCCAATTTTTAAGTACTAAAAAATATTCAAATTCTATAATAAAATTACTGCCACTTGCATATATTTAGGCACTTTAAAATAAAATACTGAACGTGAACAAACGAAATTATTTCCATTTTTAATAAATTAAATAAACAAAATAATTTTTGTTATATTTTATAACAGTTTTTTCCCAATTAAATAATGAAAAATTTAAAAGACCAAACAATGTGAAAGGATCAATTAATTAAATTTAAATGCGAAATTTTTTTAAGTATGTCATATACTATATAGTATATATGTAAGTATATACTTGAAGAAATATAATGTACTTAATTTAGAATTTATTAAATGAATCATAAATAATACTCTTTTTTAAAATATTGTTATAAAATATTGTTACTATTGTGAATGAAAATTTTAATTTGATATTAAGTAAATATAATAAGTATACAAAATAAGACCGGAAACTGTTAAATGATGTCATCGTATCTATATACCATAATAAGTAATTTTAATATACATGTACATATACATACATACATGCATATATTAAATTATTATTAAATTTAAGACGTGAAAAAAAAAAAAGATTTATGGGATTAATAAAAAAAAAATATGTGGCTATATACTTATATACATATAACATTGTATTTCAATTTTTGGTACAGTTATTTTCATTTTTAACTTAATCAAATATAATAATAAGCACATACTTATATATATAATAAATTTTTAAATTATTATATTAAAAATTTTACTAAATTTATGATTCATTGTATTAAATTAATTTTTGGAAAATTATTCAATTAAAAATTAAATTTATAAAACTGGTCATGGTAACATTTATTTACTGACGCGATGCGTAAGTGTTATAATAGAATTTTAGAATTCTTAAAACAATTTATTAGAGAAATTAACGAAGCATGATAAAAATTACATGATGCGGTAACACCAAATTTCAAGCTTCCATCTGCTTAATATTAAAGGTGTTTAAGTTGAAGTAATTTTATGATAATTTTCCTAGTTCTTTTATGACAATCTATAATTAATTCATGGCGAATTTTCATATAACAATTAAGACGAAAATTGTAACTCATAAACGAATATTGTCTTATTTGAGATTAATTCACTCTTAAGTCAGAAATTAATTCAGTCAGAAATACTTTTTATTATACAAAAAATGAAAGCTTAATATATGTATAATATTTTTCAAAATATGACACTTTTCTATATTATCATTAAAATATTAGGTAAACTTTACATTTTTAAAAACACCATAATGTAAATTTTTAAGCCAAATAAAAGGAAATTGAATTTATGTACCTAGGGTCCTCTAAATAAAAACTCATTGCAAATAAATAAATATACAGCCCCAAAATTTAAATATATGTATGTGCTCAATTTTCCAAATAATTCAAAAATATTAACAAAATTTTCAAGATCGTATACTTATTTCTCATATATTATAAATACCAACTACAAGTATAAATTTTAAAATCTACCCAAATATTCACTTTGATTTTTAATTTATCTTTATTGGATTTTATCATTATTTGGTACATGTCTCACACCATATTATAATTTAACCATTTACTTTAATTATATAACATTCACCCACCCTCGATTATAACATTCTATTTTTGTAATCATTATCTAGGAAATTATATCTAGGAAATGATCTAGTAAATACAAGAATTAAATAAATTAAATTGAATTATAAATGAGAAAACAAAAAAAATAAATTTTTTTTTTAATTTTAACTATAGCTAGTTTGGTGTTAAAAAAAAATTTAAACTCACATAATTTAATACGATTAATTACCACGGCAAGAACCAAAAAAAAAAAACTAAAATGAACTCATTTAATTTTTGCAAAGTGACAGAATTAATAAAATTAATAACAATAGCAAAATTAAAGAAAAGGAAAATAAAAACAACCAAAAAGTGACAAGAGTAAGAAAAAAGCCAAATAGATTCAATTACGCGGTTATTTTATCAAGGTAAGTACGTAAAATATTCTGTAAAAAATAAATGAAAAAAAAATCTTAACTATCAAAGCAAAAATTTTTTTGTGGGTTAGGTACCAATTGTTTTTTTTTTGTAACGTTCCGATTTAAAATTCATTGATATTTTTTTTTTAATTTTACTATTATTTTAGTATATTATATATGTATATAAAGAATACCATTGTTATTGTAATACAAAATTTAAAGCTTATTTCCTCTCTTTTGTTTATGGCTACCTACAAACATTTTTTTTGTTTGTTTTTTGTACATAATATTTAAAAGAATTAAAATTTTTCTACAAAATATTTAGAATATAAACTTTATAATTAAAATATGCATACAAACATACATACGTGTACCCAAATATACCAAATATGCACATATACATTTAAAACTTGCGATACAGTGAACTCTCAGTGAAAAGAATAGTGGTTTTTCAAAATTTAAACATGATTCACGAATTTTTATTTTTTTGACATTAAGATGGTGTTCTATTCTTTTAATGTAAATATATTTACGGACTAATTAATTTAATTTATATTTACATATTAAAGTTTTCAATAAATTAAATAAGATCTATTAATAATTAACTATTGTACTCGTATAGCATATTGTAAAGTAACTCATTGGAAAAATTTAGTTCAAAATTGTGACGTAAAATTTGTTCTATTGGGTTAGAATTTTGACGTAAATTGGTTCTATTTGAAAAACTACTCTACGTATAAGAGATAAACACTCACAATTTAATTAACAAAATATCTTTTTAAAAATTATTATGATTATTGAAATGATATTATTTTTTTCATGAAAATTAGTAAACAAAGACGAGAATAAATTTTTTGTTTACAAAAGCAAATATCATTTATTTTGATATTGATAAATTAAGGTATGTTAATATCTTTACTCTCTAAAAAATTTGGTTTTTTGTAGGTTGCGAAAAATTAGAATTTATGAGATAAGTATATGAAGTTAATTCTTCGAGTCACACTCATAAAACGCACTTCAAATTTTTCTTGACTTTTAGATTTTCAACATGTAAAAGAAAATATGTTATGCAATTACCATTTTTGACAAAACATAGTAAAGTCATAAATTTCAAAAAGTTTTGTGACAAATTTCATAAGTGGTAAAGTTTTGAATTTTTTAATAGTGTTAGTTTATGAAAATCGCTATTCAGTAATATTGAAATCAAATGGAATGAAACTGAAACAGATGTCTTTGTTAACAGATATATACAAATGTTATAATAATTATATAATTGTTACAAACGAACTATTGTTGCAATTTAAATGTAATAAATTCTGAAATCAGAATTTATTACATTTAATATTCTGAATTTCTGAATTCATTCTATATAGCAGTATTTCAATTAATAAATTATTCGGTTTATAATTTCTAATTGCATGTTACAATTTCGCATAAATGCAATTTACTAGACAGAAAAATGAAATATGTGATGAAAAAAATTGCTTCAAAATGCGTTAATCAATTTCTTTATAATAAAAAATTCATCCAGAATAAATGAACTTTTCTTTTGTAATAACGCAACTCTACTGTAAACTTTAAAATACACTGTATATTTTAAAAGCCTCTATATACAACTTAAAGTTTTCGCACTATTTAAAAATAAGAAAAATAAAAAGTAAGAAAAGAAAACTCACGTTTTCGTTTATGTCTACCACATGATCATCACGTTAAAATATACTTTGTATGTAACATATTAAAATGTGTATACACATACATACATATATGCATTATATTTTATAAAATAAAAAAAAATTATAATTTTTTTTTTGTTTAAGAATATGAAAAATTCTAATTAATATAGCTGATATTTATAGCTATATACATATAAGAAAATTCAATTGTTATTAAATTTTCATATTTTCACTTTATTCACTTATTTTTTATATTTTAATAACATTTTTTTTTATATATTTTTAAATCTGAACTTTGGAAACTATAGAGAACAAGAATAAACTGTAGACAACCGAATAAAAAAATAAACTAAAAAAATAAAATTAATTTTTTATTTTCTCTTTTAAATTTCTTTAATAAAAATTATATAAATAGAATTAAAAATAAAAAAAATAAGAAAAAAATAATAATAATAAGAACAACCATTACACCATAATATACTCTTTAGTATATATTTTAAAGAGAGAATGTGACGCAATCGAAATATTTGTGTGATTATATTTTATTTATTTATAATATCAGTACAGCACATTTAAGTGTAGATATTCTGAAAATTTTTTTATATAAACTCTACATTGATTTAAAAAATCTGTCTGTCTACATATACTTATATTACAATTCGCATGAATGCGTTTAAATGGTAATCATATGTCACTTTGATATTTCAATAAAATTTTTTAATTAACTTGTTTTTTTTTTAAAAAAAATATACAAAAAATTCTTTGGAACATTTTTTGTAATTACAATTTTTAACTAGAAATACTCAA